ATCATCTGGGTTGTGTCTTTATAATGGGAGGGAACCTACATTTTTTAGTGCAGCACATCAATCATTTACATCTATTGACCTTTCTATTGCATCACCAATTTTACTTCCATGCTTTTCATGGACTGTTTTAAATAACCCTTTTGGGAGCGATCATTTTCCTATTGTTTTAGAAAGCACGATGCCAATTACTTCCATTCCGACACTACTTCCAAGGTGGAAATTGGAAAAGGCTGATTGGTCTCTTTTTCGTTTGGAGGCTTTTATTGATTCATCTGTTCTAGTAAATATGAGCCCTGAAGATGCCACGCTGTACGTTACTGAAGCGATTATAAATGCCGCATCACACACTATCCCCCAGACCTCTGGACGACTCCCCAAGAGGTGCAAGCCATGGTGGAACAGGGACTGCTCCACAACACGCAAGTTGCAAAACAAGGCATGGTGCATCTTCAGACGTTATCCCACTCAAAGGAATCTACTTGAATTCAAGAAAAGAAGAGCCAAAGCTCGCTGGACACGAAGGCAAGCTAAAGGCAGTTCGTGGAGAAAGTATGTAACCTCTTTGAGTAGTTTTGTTTCTTCAAAGGAAGTGTGGGATCATCTTAGGAAGATTAGGGGAGACTATCGGTCTTTCAGGGTACCTCTTTTTCCATCAGCAACATCGCTTAAAGAACAAGCAAATGTACTTGGTAAACACTTCCAGGAAGTGTCTAACTCGGCCAATTATAGTGAATCTTTTAAGAAGTTTCGATCAGTAGCAGAAAGACAAACTATTCCTTTGTCTGGTGGTCAGGGTGCTCCTTATAACAAGCCATTTACACGGTGTGAGCTTGAACTGGCTCTCGGCGTCAAAAAAGACTCTGCGGCTGGGCCAGATAGGATTCAATACGAGATGTTAAGGAGACTATCGCCTGAATGTTTAAACAGTTTGCTCACCTTTTTTAATTTATTGTGGGATGCTGCTTGTTTTCCTGACTGCTGGAAAATGGCGCACATAATTCCTCTACTGAAACCCAGCAAAGACCCCTCACTACCGACGAGCTATCGCCCGATTGCATTGACAAGCTGCCTGGGCAAGACCTATGAGAGACTTATTAATCGCCGTCTTGTCCACTTTTTAGAGGCAGAGGGTGTGTTTGATAGAAATCAGTGCGGCTTCCGAGCGGGCCGCTCCACGGTTGACCACCTTGTCCGCCTGGAAACTTCTATTCGGGAAGCATTTGTCCATCGCCAGCATTGTGTTTCTGTCTTCTTTGACCTAGAAAAGGCTTACGACACGACTTGGAGATATGGGATCCTTCGAGACTTGTACTCATATGGTTTCCGAGGTCGCATGCTTCGCTGCATTCAAAGTTTCTTGACGGGTTGGACCTTCCAAGTGCGGTTGGGCTCCATCTTGTCGGATGTTTTCCCCAGGAGAATGGCGTCCCTCAGGGTGGAGTATTAAGCGTTATACTCTTTGCCGTGAAAATTAATAGTCTGGCTAAGGTTATACCACCATCTGTATCCTATTCAATGTATGTGGACGATGTGCAAATATTGTTTTCCTCTTGTAACTTGTCCAGCTGTGAACGGCAACTGCAGCTCACAATCAATAAGATGAGCAGGTGGGCTGATCAAAATGGCTTTAGGTTCTCCCCTGAAAAGACAATCTGTGTTTCCTTTTCTCTCCGCCGTGGTCTGTTTCCAGATCCAGTGTTGCACTTGAATAATGTTGCTATATCTGTAAAGGAAAAACACAGGTTTTTAGGAATAATATTTGATAAAAAGCTCAATTTTATACCCCACTTAAAAGAGTTGAAACATAAATGCTTACGTTCATCAAACATCCTCGAAGTCCTGTCGCATACGTCCTGGGGGTCTGACAGACGGTGCCTCTTACGACTCTATAACTCCTTGGTGCGGTCCCGCCTGGACTATGGCGCGATTGTTTATGGGTCGGCGCGTCCGTCTGCCCTAAAGATGTTGGACCCCGTCCATCATCTGGGGCTCCGACTTGCCACGGGGGCATTTCGAACATCACCTGTGCTGAGCTTGTATGCTGATACACATCAAATGTCCCTGGAAAGACGAAGGCAATATTTGAGTCTTTGTTATGCTTACAAAATACTCAGCTATCCTCAACATCCCACTTTTGGTGCCCTCCAACTTTCTAGATCCTTCCGACTCTTTGAAAACAAGCCTAGTATTGTTCGGCCACTGAGTTTCAGAGTTCAAAGGATGACAACATCGCTCCATCTTCCCTTTAGTGATGCTGCTTTGCTGAAGAGCAATGCGAGAGTTGCACCTTGGGACCTTCTACCAATCTCCTGTGACTGGTTACTGTCCAAGTACAGAAAGAGAGCTGTTTCACCATTTGTTCTTCAACAGGAGTTTTTCGATTTACAACAGAAATACAAGGACTATTTGCATTTATACACTGATGGGTCTAAAACCTCAACTTTTGCGGGATGTGCGGTTTATTCCAATGCTTTCAGGAAAGTTCGACAGCTCAACACCCTTGCAAGTATTTTTACAGCTGAATTGTGTGCCATTTTAATGGCTGTGGAGTATTTATTAGAGAACAATATCACGAAAGCAATTCTGTTTGTCGATTCCCAGAGCGTTCTTCTAGCAATTTCGTACTTAACAGACAGCAAGAACCCTCTTGTGCAACGTCTTCGGGTTCAGTTAAATCGAGCTCTTCAGCAAGGACACCTGATCAAATTCTGCTGGGTTCCAAGCCACGTGGGTATTCCTGGCAATGAGAAAGCAGACTTGCTTGCTGCATCTGCGAAAGAGTGCCCAAAACTGCCCCTTGGCCTGCCACACCAAGACCTGAAACCGTTCATACAAAAATTGATTATGAAGTCATGGCAGCTGGATTGGGATATGGAAGAAGATAACAAGCTCCACGTCATCAAGCCCCTTCTGGGGGTATGGGAGAGCTCTTTTCATAAAGACCGTCACGTTGAAGTTCTTCTTTGCCGCTTAAGAATTGGGCATACCCGTTTGACTCACCTGCACCTTCTTTGTAATGAGGATGTTAAGCTCTGCGACAACTGTGGTAAAGCTATGACTGTCCTGCACATCCTGTGGCATTGTAAATCTTTAAATCAACAGCGCCAATCATGTTTCCCAGAACTGTTCCGGGATCATCTTCCTTTTCATCCATACTTTCTACTTGGTGATCAACCCTTGGTACCGTTCAATCGAGTTATAAAATTTCTACATAAAACTGGCCTTTTACACCAGCTGTAACTTGCAGTTATTTTAGATTGCATTTCTAAGCTCCTTATAAAAACCTCTGTTTTGGCGCAATATGGCCTAAGTTGCTCTTGCGCCATTAAACCCCCAACCATCATCATCATCATCATATTTTTAATATTGCATGTGTGCCTTAGATGACCCAGAACTTTGAATGTATTTGGTATATATAGTTTAAACGCCACGTGACCATGAAAAAAAGAGAAAGAGCGCGACTGCAAGCGGCCAATTCTCGACTAGCTTTTTTGGGGAGGAAAGAAAACGTGTTTTGATCCGTAAATTGTGTTCTGGGTAGTTGGGCTCTTACAGGTCGTGTTCAAATAAAAACCTCGGCGAACATAAATGCCCTGTCGGAGTCCCTTTAATCAGATTACGTTATGAGAGCGGTGAGCGGCACCACGCCCCAGTCGTCATGTCGCCATAGCGATACAAATTGTGCTTAAAGTCGCTGCTAACTTGAGAAACGCCAGACGCGGCCTGTTGTCATATTGTTTCGTTATTTGTGTTTGGTGTTCTGACTAGCGAATGCCTCTATGCCATGGAATGATGAGCTATAATGAGATGTGCAAAACTCGTCTTGTGTTTCATAAGCTGCCAGTGGCTGGAGTTACATAAATGTGATCGTAGCTCATCGAACTGAGTCCGGACCAATCGCATGCAACTTGTCTTCCTGCTTTTAGAGCGCAGCTCTTAGGCGCCCGTTCCCGGCTTGAGCGGCGTCGCCGTCGCCGTCGCCGTCGGCGTCGGCGTAACCGTGAGTAACCCTCGTAACCCTCGTGAGGGTTACGAGGGTTGGTTACCCTCAAAAGCGTTACACTCACGAGGGTCACGAGAGTTATGAGAGTCACCCTCACGAGGGTTATGAGAGTTACCCTCACGAGGGTCACGAGAGTTACCCTCACGAGTGTCACGAGAGTTACTTTCACGAGGGTCACGAGAGTTACCCTCAAGAAGGTTACTAGGGTTACCCTCACGAGAGTCACGATGGTTACCCAGGTCACGTGACCCCCTCCCAAGGTCACGTCACCCCCCCCCGAGGTCACGTGACCCCCGTTGGCGTCATCGCCACTGATGACGTCATCAGTGACGTCACGGATGACGTCACTGGTATCCGTATCGTCATCGTCATCATCACTGATGACGTCACCAATCAGCATTGTCACGTGACCCCCCAAGGTCACGTGACCCCCCCCGCCACCCGAGGTCACTTGACCCACCCACCCAGTGCCCTTCCCTCCTCCTTTTCAAGAGCTGCGCTCTAATTCTGCGTTACAGGGAGTTGTAAACGGCTTTCATTTTTTTTCTCTTCGACCGATCTGCTCTTTTTAATTCGACGTGCTACGGTCACAATCACAAAAACACAGCCAGTGACTCTTTCGCCTCTGAAGCATTCATTGAATCACAATGCCGATCCTGCATAACATTTGCTAAACTTGTTGAAAGAAACCCAGTTGTGTATGATAAGAGTGTAGGCATGTCAGAAAGGTTAATGTTTTTTGTTTTTTTTTAGTGGCGTGAATCAACGAACGGAATGTGCTGCCAATCAACGTTGTGTAGTATCTTTGCGTGTGCCAATTCACTAAAGACATCTTCAATCTGTTTGAATGCGTTGCAGCTATGTGTGATCGAACAATTCCTGCTTGAAACGAACGGCCAGCTTTGTGCGCAATATATAAAATGTGTATTCTCAATTGCGTTCAAGGTTCGGTTGCACCTACATGACTACAAGCGAAATCCGTGGAGGAGAAGTAAGGATGAAGTCATGGACGGTGCTCTCAATCCTCCTCGTCTTGTACGGCGGAATATCCTGCGCACAAGCAGGAACATCAAAGGGCAAGAGCCCTACTGCAAAGTTTTATGAGGTAACATGCTGGGCAGCAACAGCGGAAAAAAAGACAAAGGCAGAAAGACAAAAAAGGGCGCTGTTTTTCTTTGTGTGTCTCCTGTGTCGTCCTAGCCGTTATTGTGCTGTTGCTCCCTGTACTGGGTGTATTTTTTAAAGCTTTACTGATTTTTTAAAGACCTGAAGGCTACGTCAATGATGTTTGTCCGGGTGAGCTGTGCGGCAAGGTGGACATAGTGTAGAAAGATAATTGTCACGATTAGTCGGTGAATAAACTAAACTTTGTTGATTAACTTTATGTTATAAAATATAAAGATATTAATCTAATCATAGACTTACTGAGCGTCACGGGAAACCACTAAGTAAATGAATTTTAGAAAGTTTTGAGGAGCGTGAGAAGTGCGGATGAGCGCAAAATTTACCACTCGTGCAACTGGTGCAACAATGGTGGTGAAAATACGCGCCCGCTCGGTTCCTCCACCACCAGCATGCCACTCGTTCCAAAAGTAGTAACTTTAGCGCACCACGGCCCTTCCCACGCGCCGCAATCGTTGCCTTGTTTCCAAGTTTACTTATTTATTGGTTTTCGATGACTCTCATCAAATGCGTTATTTAAACCGAATGTTTACATTCTGTCATTAAAAAAAAAAAAACATATGAACAAAATTTGGTTAATGATCTAACTTATGGCGGAAATTATACACTCATTAACGAAATTACGGTTAGTAGGCAGGGGAGCTGGAGGAAGATCACTCTGACTATTCTAATTCGAAACTGTGGCAGAAGGAGAAACTTCTGTTATAGGTTAAGAGAAAGTAAGAGGGGCAGACACCATCTCAAACTCAGCTAATCATTTTATTCAACCAACCTCCTTATATAACGAACTACAACGGCCACAAAACCATCAAACATTCTGCTTTCCAAGGTCGCGTGCACAACTCTCACCCACATCCCAAAACAGACTAAGCTATGTCACCCAGAAAACCACAACAACTTTCCGGTTTCAGGGAGCTGGAGGTCACAAAAAATATACAATGCTTTTGAACTACGACAAACACACACACAATAATACCTCTGGTTGGTTTAGACGAAAAGCTTCTGAACTACTATCTCAAATAATAAACTAACTGAAGAGGGTGAAAGAGGTTCTCGAGTTGAATTTGGTTTAATTCCAATCACAGTCAGGCATTTCCATAGATAATTTTCTTTCTATTTTTTAGCATTACCTCCAGTCGACGTTTGTGGACTATGAAGCAAAAGAGTATACAGAAAAAAGAGGGAGTGTGCATAGGGTCGTCTGTTGCAACGGCGTGAGTGGAAATTTACTTGAACTCCTTAGACTGTGTTGTGTCTGATGGCTCCAAGAGTCATCAGATACATGCACTGTTCAAATATATGTTGATGCAAAGTGATTTGCTATTTTCGCAAATGTCTATCAAACAACCTAGAAACATTAATTAGGTCAGCAGCACCCGAGCCTCATTTCAGGGTGGAAAGACCCAAAACTAGAGTCCTTAAATTTTAACGTTTTTAGTTCATACTGAAGATGGGTTGTGCTGCAAGTGTGACAAGGAAAGTTGAAAACCAGTGCTATCAAAATTATGTTTCCAATTAAAAACTGTGAAAGAGGAGGTGATTAAATCATTAACCAGGAATGCACTAGATAGATCTTGTATTTATTGGATGACTCAAACGTTGGAACGACAGTGGAAAAGAATGAACAAAGCCGGATATAAAAATTAGTTCGCAAAAAAGATAATTATTTATAGAAATCGCAGATAAAAGTGAAGGAAAAGAGAAATAAAAACGAGAATTCGCTGCAATCCTCTCTTGCCATAAATGTCGCCTAACCTGAAAGCAACTCCAAAAGAGTTCGGAGTTTACACCGTTTTCAATTCAGAGTTTAGGTTAAGTAGACTCACGCCATTTCAGACAGGTTCGAGCGGAGCGGTCTATAAGATACCTTTGGCTTGTGGTGTTAAGTACGTAGGGCAAACTTCAAGGTGTGTCAATGACAGGTTCACGAACCCGAAAGAAACGCAAAGAATAATTCTGCAAATTCAGAATTAGCTGAACACGTAAACGAATAGAGTGCATAATGGTCAGGACCAGAAATAGTACACAAGGAGGTAGCTAAAATAAAAAGAGAGTTGTAAGAGAGACGATCCGCATAAGAACAGTAGGAGGCTGTATCCGTCACGCCTCTTTACAGCTTAGTAGTATTTCACATAAATCCTTTCAGCTTCAGTTGCGCTTTGTTTTGGTTGTCCGTTCGTGTGAACCAGAAGTCGGCTAGGTTTGGGTCAAACATGGAGCTTTATGCCTCCCTTATGAATGAATTTTTATAGCGCAGCTCGTAGACGCCCGTTTCCGGCTCGAGTAGCGTCATCGTCGGCGTCGGCGTAACCGCGCGCGCTGCCTTAGGCCCGCTTCAGCCGGAGCAATTTCACCCAGCAACTTGAGGTCGCAACACCAGCAACACCGGCCGCCCGCGTTCACACGCAGCAACCGAATTGCTCCGACTTGCCACCATAATCATTAAATTTGTTCTTATATCTTTGAACGTCGTTTAGAATACTAACTCATTTTTCTGAAACTGTTTATTTCCGAAAACGATCCATTCTAAACCAGAACTAAGTCTTTAGCTGTCATCATCACCACGACAGGGGTGTCACGTGAAAATATCGCGTCTCTGATTGGCTGCAGCCGCTTCAACCGTCTACGAATTGCTCCGAGTTGCTCGCTTGTTCGAGCCGGACCCGATCTCAGCAATTCGCGTCGATCTAGGGAAAGCTAGGGAACAACCCGCCAGCAACCTCAAAATTGCTGGAAAAGTTGCCCCGTCTGAAGCGGGCCTTACGGTAATAATGCAACCGGGCGTAACCGCGCCTTGCATTATGGGAAAATTTCCCCTCTAACTTTATCCGAAATATTTCCCCGATATCTTGAGTTGGAAAATTTCCCCCAGAATTTAGAGGGAAATTTTTCTCGCTATGTTTAGCGGGAAAATTTCCCGCTAAAATTAGCGGAGAAATTTCTCCGCTAAATTTAGGCGGGAAAAGTTATCGCTAAATTTAGCGGAAAAATTTCCCGCTAGACTTAACTGAAAATTTTATTTTTAAAATTTTTAAAAGCTTTCCGCCAAGTTTAGCGGAAAAATATTCCTGCTAAATTTAGCGGGAAGTTTTCGCTAAATTTAGCGGGAAATTTTCTGAAAATTTCCCGCTAGATGGGAGGGAGGCAGGAAGGGAGGAGGAGAGGGTACGGGGGGGCGAGGGTCATACTCCTTCTCCGCGCTCTCCCCTCCTCCTCCCCAAGAGCTGCGCTCTAATTCGGCATCACGGAGAGTATAAACGTCTTTAAATTTGTGTTTACTTCTTTGTCTTAGAAAGAAAAGCTCCTGTTTAGTCAATACTCTATTAAAAGTATCACTGTGTAGATGCGTGAAGGCTGTAAACCCTTCATGAGTCTGTGTGTCAAGGAAGTTTGTTTCTTTTTTGTTAGTGTACTTTTCTGAGATAGTATTTTAGAAGCTTTTCGTCTAAACTAACCAAAGGTATAACTGGCTGTGTGTATGTAGTAGTTCAGAAGCGTTGTATATTATATGTGACCTCTAGCTGTCTGGAAACATTTTTGTCTAAACCGGAAGGTGGTTGTGCTTTATGGGTGACACCACTTCATTTGTTTTGTGATGTGGGTGAGAGTCGTGCTCGCCACCTTGAAAAACATGATGTTCGGTACTTTTGTGGTGGTTGTAGTTTTGTATATAAGAAGGTTGGTTGAATATAATGATTAGCTGAGTTTCAGATGCTGTCTGTCCCACTTACCTTCCCTTCAAATGTAAAATACATTACTCCTGACCCAGACTCGGGTTAAAATAATCATGGTAAATATTCATTTATATTTGTCCCCCTGGCCGTGTAGCTTAACTGCACAAATTGTATTAGCGTAGCTTTCAGTTTTTTTTGCTTTTTCACAAATCTGCAAAGCATGGAAAAATACCACAAATAGACGCTTGCAAGTACGGCCTTTGGGCGCCGCCATTTTGCTGCATGTGTGGGTAGACCTTCTGATAGTCAAGTACTGTTGAGGCGTCCCCACGGTTTCAAATCTGGCGCCCAAACAGAGTGTTTTCCATTCATGGAGGCCAGACTCGCTCTTGAAGTGCGGCTGCTTGCAAACGCCTCTAGAATTCCCAACCCGCCCAAGCCTTTATCTTAATTCGTGCTGCCTTCATTACCTGATATAAGGTCAGGAGTAATCTGACGATTTTAGTACGATAGGCAATAAAGCGCAGTAATGCATATTAATCAGGAGCCACTTCATTGTTCGCCAAAAACCATGATTGAAATATCTGTCCTTGGAAACCATTTCGTTTTATTTTTGTTTTGATTTTTGGTATAAAGTCTTATTTTTTATTTAAAATTAATCCGTGCGTTTTACAGTTTTACAAATGAACAAAATATATCGAGAACAAATTAGTTGGATATTACTGATCATTTGGAGTGAGACAAACTATACCCGTGTCGCACTATACGCTTATATAAAGTATTTAGTAAGGTCGGAACACCCATCAAACGAGAACGTTAAACGTTTCAGTGGCAAAATGAGCGGACGTTTCGTAGCCATTCCGACTGTATGACCATAATGTATACTGCTAAACCTTCGCACTGGCCAGTTTTTTTTCTGCGCCCTCAAAAACACATTTTTCTATAGATAACGTAACCCACGAACCTTTACATAGTATGGTTGGTATTTTCAGTGTGTTTGGGGGCAAATGTAGATATAGAATTTTCTAAGAGCGCACTGCCATTCCCTCGTTCATTGTGTTGTTGCGTTTGCAGAGAATGCAGTACATTCCGTTTATCTGGTACCAGTGCTATCGCAACGGGAGCTTCCTGGAAACGCCGAATACCATTATTACGTCAGGGCTGTGGGATGGAACATCTGGAAACAACGAGTGTGCCAAAAACACAATATGGGAGATATTTAACGGAACAGCACGAAGCAGTACAACGTACGCTAAACGATTTTGATCCCTAAACTTTGCTTGCATTCTAACAAATCGCAGGTTCTATGCACTACAACGCAATGCACTTCTAAAGGTTATAATTACTCGTTCTTCGATACTTTCAGCTGATAAAACGGGTCATCGGTATCGTTGCTATCGTTACACTTTCACTGGCAATTAGGGTGCGGGCCCTTTTTCTAGCAAGACGGCATGCCTAGAGGGCTTTTGCACCTGACGTCATTTCCGGGCACGTTACCAAAACAGCGTGTTCGAAAACTGCAAAATTGAACATTAACAACCTTCCGCTACTTTCCCTATTTAAAGGCACGTAATCGATTTTAATTAGCATTGTTTTTAATGCTGATAAGACGTGAAACCAAGCAGACGCTTAGTCGACAACAGAACTCAAGAAGTTAAGTCGGGGATGTATTTGGGATGCTTAAATACATATATGTTTTTACTTCTTCGGAGCCTCCCGGTGGCGTTCTAAGGCGCCATTTTTGCCACTGACGTGTACACTCCTCAAGTGCAGGCTCGTCTAATGCCGGAATAAAGACAAATATGTACAGAAATCGAGAAGCAGCCCATTTTTATTTACGTTCCTGACGAGTCTGGCTGGCTCAGTGGATCACAACACGAAACAACTCAAGTGATCTAGAAAGCACTGTGTTCGCGTAAAGAAAGGCATGCATAGCGAACATGTGATGAGAGCAGAATGGTGTCACCGACATAGATTCCTGTAGAAGTATTGCCGCAAACAACGAATGGCAAGGACAAGAAAATAAACAAAAAAACTGGGAATCTAAAATTTTAATGTGGCAAACTTGCTCTGAAAGAAAATGTACGATAACGAGCGTCCCCGGCTGCCGATATCGGCGTAACTTCAAGGTAGGGCGGTGGCAAAGGAAAAAAAAGTGATCTAGCACGCAGGGCTGCTTTTATACCCCCGACAACTTCTGGATGTTTTTGTACGAGGACTATTGGCATCATCCCGATTATGCTAGAACTTTCTAGAATATCTATGAAAAGTTAAAGGACTGGTCTCGCTTAAAATCAAGGTTAAAAAGGAGAAGTTTTGATTCCAGGACATCCGCGTGATAATCAAGTGCGCTGTCTACTGGATAACGGACACGGCAATATCAAACTGGGAGTGACGTTGCATCCTAGACTCCTGCAAGCGCCCGATTGGGATACGATATTCCTCCATTATTACCGGTTGAATTTATCAAAAAAAGACAAACGAATGATGTTCCAAGCGCATCTTTGAGAAATACGTATGAAGAAGCTATTGCGCCTGAACAACGTCGTAACAGACATTTTTTTATTTTCGGAAATTGGTAGCAATTAGTCGCAGTCGAGCTGGTTAAACTTTAACCTATTGAGACGGAAAAGGGAATGTTTGCGCTGCTCCGTTACAAAACTATTTGATATATTTACGGCTATTTATTCGGCAGGGACCTGAGGCATGAATTATTTATAGAAAAATATATATCGCAAAAATGTTTGAACCACACGAAGCGAAAAATTGTTTATTTCTTGGCTTTTCAGACGCAGGCTTCTATAGCCATTTGAACGATATTAACTCTGAGATAGTGGCATTAATTCAATAAACAGTTGCGTTTGCCAAAACTGAAGTTGTTCAACATGTATCGATATAAGTGGGCGTGTCCGTTTGATCTTCTGATTTATAAATTAATTAAGAAAACCAATAATTATTGATTCAAAAGTTTGGCAGTGTTGTAAATATGCCAGAACCAATGAGCGTGTATAGCCATATCCTAACGGATACTAAGGCTTTAACTGTGAATTACTTATTTGATGGTTTGCTTCTTTGGCGACTTCTCTGCCTGACCTTAATTAAGTGAACCTTTCCCTTATAGGACAACTTTTTCTACCTACTACGATCCAGAATCCGAGGTTGGATATCTAACTATTAACGGTAAGCCTGTCCTACGGAAACGTTCCGGTAGTTAACACGTCTAACGAAAATAAGCTGGCGACTTTAAACTAGGTCGAGGCGTCGATTAAAAAGTCTAAACCAGAGTAATCGCCGCCCTTTAATCTATTAATTAATCGATTATTCGGTTGCGCTGATTTCTATAAATAATAAATTAAACTAATGCAACAGCTCGTCTTGCGTTTGAATACTTACTTTACTGTCAGATACACGGCGCAAAGGACGTTTGCAATTGATGATACATATAGTTCAACGTTTCAAAGACTCACATATTTTTGCTCCAGCTTCGAAGACAAAAACGATCGTCCTCATTCTCCGTCACGACCGAGTTCCTTTGTTTGTTCACGATCATGCCTTCTGCACTGAAAAGACGCTCATACGGCGTTGAGGTGGCTGAGACGCACATCACCGCCTTAACGATTGACACTAGCTCGGGAAGGAGAGAGCACTGTGCTCACCACCACTGTAGCGGGTCCAGGTTATCGTCTGTAACCTCTGGCAGCGAACGATATAGTGATGCTTCGCAGGAGACTGTGGTTCCTTCGCTCCCCTCCGAGAATGCGTATTTTCTTTTTTTTTTCTTTTGTGTGTTGTCACGCTGAGTGTCCGGCGACATTCGTGCCAGCTGCTAAAGCCCATGCCACATGTGTTCTCGGCGATCTTTGTCCATGGAATGGAGGCTCCTGAACCGACGGTCAAGACACGTCGTCATCTCGTAATCCGAGATGGCGAGGATGTAGTGCGGCCACGCGCTTAGTCTCTCGTCGGTTGAATCCACCAGCATGGCCTTCAAGCGGCAGATGAAGGCGGGGTCACAGTCGTTTATTCTCATATTATTCTTCAGCAGCTTCATCGCTGGAATCAGGACGGACCGTGTTACATACTTGCCTCCTCAAAGAAGCTCCGTTACATCTAAAGGGGTCTCAAAACCTACCGATGTTGTTCTAGCATGTCCCAGTCAACATATGTGAGGCGTTGAACAGTCGCTTTGCTTGCACTGTCGTCCTTTATGGCGAGGCGCAAAGGCTCCTTCAGTTCTAGCAGGGTGTTTTAATTATGCAGGTGCTATTCCATCGTGTGGCGATATCTTGCTGGAGCTTTGTTGTTGGCACTCCGAGAACAGGTGCGTGCTTTGAAAGGATGGCCTGGTGGTTCGTGCTGTGCTTAAAATGACCCACAGCGCGTCGACAGGTGGCCAGTAGTCGTTCCACTCCTGTCACGGTGATAGCCATTTGGATGCACAGCTGCAGCGTATGAGCTGCGTACTTCGGGCTCTGGAAGCTCGCTCTCTCTACACCAAGACAAATGTTACGCGCGTTATCGGTGCACACAGCTTCCACCTCCTGACCAATTTTCCCAGCCTCCGAAACATCACGGGCACATCGTTCTGCTGTGTGGCGTTCCGGTACGTGTCTCACCTGGAGCGTTTCGGATTGGAGCACCCAGGCGTCGTTAATCCAATGCACCGTTACTCCAAGGTAGACATCATTGGAAATCGCGGTCCAGAAGTAAGTCGTTAAGCTGATGAAGTTAGTTGCCGAAAGTTCTGCTTGGAAACTCTCTTTTTGTGTTGTACAGGCTGTCCACCATAGCGGCGCGAAGGCAGTTGGTAGGACGGAGAGCTTAAGGCCATCTGAAGCACATTCTTCAGTCCTGGGTCTTGTACAATGTTCAGTGGCCCGCTTGCAGAAACAAGCCTAGAAGAAAGGGCTTGGGCGATGCTTTCGTCTTTTTTCACAGAAAGGGGCCTCGATGAGAAGGCGTCGATTGTTGTCTGCGTTTTTGCGGATGACCCTTGCCGCAGCGCCGTACTCGGGTGCTCCGCTCGTAGGTGACACTAAGCGAACTTACGCTTCCACGTCACGAAAACGACTTTATGCAGATGAGTTACCTTAAACCCAAACTATCCGGCGAGATTGCCTTTTATGCTCATGAAATCGTCCATGTTTAGGGGCTGAATACTGGAAGAAGTAACGATAGCGTTGTTAACTTCCCAGCTTGTTTGTGTGCTTGTCTGTCTTGCCTGTGTTGTGTTTGAGTATTGTTTCAATAAATAGCGCGAGGCGGCGGGCAAAGAAGTGAGCGCGCGCCTGGGATGTGCGAGACGAAACGAATGCACGGGACATTAAAACCGTTTGGCTCTGGAAGCTACATCGGCTGCACCTCGTCCTGTCTCTTGTCGTAAGCACCGTGGTCGTAAGCCACAACATAATTGGCGACGAGGATGGGATGTCCATCACGACTGCAACGGGCATCGTAGAAGGAATCCACCGGGCCACGGCAAGGACGAACGAACATGGCAGGGTTGGGAAGGTTCGATCCATTTGTGGAGGATGGTGACGAAGATTTTGAATCTTACGTCGAAAGATTCGAACACTACCTAAAGGCTACAAAGGTAAGCGAAGCCCTAAGGCTCTCTGCTTTTGTCACCGCAATTGGCCAGAAACCGTACAAGACTCTTAAGACTTTACTCCATCCGGTCAAACCAGAAGAGAAAAGCTGGGAGGAGTTGGTGGCGGTTCTGAAAGGTCATTACGCTCCGAGGCCGATGGTGATAGCAGAGCGGTTTAAGTTTAACCGTCGCTACCAAAAGGAAGAGGAGACGGTAGCCACTTTTTCAGTGGAGCTGAAGAGGCTCGCGTCGACTTGCGAGTTCGGCAGTTTCTTGGATGATGCTTTGCGCGACAGGTTCGTCGCGGGATTAAAAGACAAGAAAACACAGTCCGACTTGTTGAAGAAGACGACGTTGACGTTTGGTGCCGCGTGTGACATTGCTAAAAGCATCGAGCTCGCACGCAAGGAAACCATCACGTTTCAGCCTACTGCAGGTCGTCATAGGTCGTCTAGCCAACGAGAAGAAGACGACGTGAACGCGGTTCGGCAACAGAAAAGGGAACCGTGGCGCAAGTCAAATAAGGGTCCACGAGCTTCCACGACTAAACAGACATCCGGGCATACGGGAGACACCACGTCTTCATGTTCCTACTGCGGACAGGTACACACTGGACAGCCCTGCAAGTACCGCAAGTACAAATGTCCTGTCTGTAAAAAAGTCGGACACCTGGCAAAAGTTTGTAGGTTCAAAACAGACTCCGTTAAACACGTCGCAAGTGAGGGAGCTGATGATATGCAGCTTTACACAGTGTACGCGTGTGAAACGGGAAGGCGTAACTATGAAGTAGATGTTAAAGTAGCCGACAAGCTCGTAAGAATGCAGATAGACACTGGAGCGTCCGTGTCGGTAGTGCCAGAATCGTGGTGTGTGAAATACTGGGCAAACATTCCTAAGGAGCCATGCAACCTTAAATTGAGAACGTATGGGGGGAATTTTCTCACGGTGACTGGGAAGTTGTCAGTACCAGTCGAGCACAATGGACAGAGAAAGACACTTCCTCTTATTGTAGTTAAGGCACCAGGGGGCAACGTAACCCCGCTGCTTGGTCGAGACTGGCTAGAAGAGCTGAGGCTAGACTGGTCATGCGTAAACAGTGTAAGAGAAGAAAAGGAAGCAAGGCTCCTTGAGAAGTACGCTGAACTTTTTGGAGAAGGTGTGGGTTTGATAAAAGGACAACAGGTCAAACTGGTTTTTGATTGTCGTAGATGCTCATTCAAAGTGGGTAGAAGTGTTTCTAATGAGTTCCACTACGACAAAATGTACTATCGAAAGATTGCGAAGTGTTTTCGCCGCGTTTGGACTACCAGAAGAGGTAGTGACAGACAATGGACCCCAGTTTGTGGCGACAGAGTTCGTAGAGTTTCTGTCGATGAATGGGGTACGCCACACGAAAAGTCCTCCGTACCATCCCGCCTCAAACGGAAGCGCGGAACGGTGTGTGCAAACCGTCAAGCGGGACCTCCTGAGGCAGGTAATCGACGAGCAACGGACGGGTGTATCGAAATCGATGCAACATCGAGTCGACCAGTTCCTGTTTGCATACAGAAACACCCCAACTGGTACGACCGACAGAACTCCAGCCGAGCTGTTTCTCTCTTGGAAGCCTAGGACCCGTCTGAGCTTCCTTCATCCTGAAATGGAGAGACGCATGAGAGATCGCCAGCAACAAATCAAGACAGCGGTACCGACCACACCAGTGCTTCGAAGTAGCATACGACAACGTAGGCCACCGGAGAGGTATTCTTGTGTGAGTCAGCCAAAACATTGATGGGGAAGGAGTGTTGTGTTTGAGTATTGTTTCAATAAATAGCGCGAGGCGGCGGGCAAAGAAGTGAGCGCGCGCCTGGGATGTGCGAGACGAAACGAATGCACGGGACATTAAAACCGTTTGGCTCTGGAAGCTACATCGGCTGCACCTCGTCCTGTCTCTTGTCGTAAGCACCGTGGTCGTAAGCCACAACAGCCTGGGCCAGAGTGTGTAATAGATCCTCAACACGTGACGTTTCGCGGTCGCGCGGAGATTAATTGCGGGCCCGGCTTGTTTGTCTGTTCTCGGCGGAACTGTAATGTATATCCTCGGACACGTGACGCTTGGCGAGCGCGAGAATTGAGCCGTGCCAATAGCACCTGGGTGGGAACGGAAAACAACCCGGGACAGAATGACCGGATGCAAGCCGCGCAGCGTTTTCTTTGGGGGGGGGGGGGGGGGGGGGGGGGGGGGGGGGCGGGGGGCAGGGGGGAGGGGGGAAATGAGCCACCTTTAGATTGGGCAGATCGTCTAGGATAGAGTCGTGCGTGCATCAAATTTACCTCTTGTTGGGTACCGACCAAAAATCCGGTTAACCGGTTCAAAAGTTGCTCGCGATTAAAGCCTTAATTCATTAGTTGGAAGGTTAATCGATGTATTGCCCAGCCCTATCTTCAACTGCTACATAAACGCTTCGCTAATAGAGAGTTTTAATTAACCGTTTTTTGCACACCCGATACGGTACGATGGGCCCTCCGGTACGAAGTGTGCATGTGTGAGTCTTCTGTCGTAGCGCATGCGCACATCGTGCCGGAGGGCCGATTGTACCGTATCGGATGTGCAAAAACGGCTCCCTAGAACTTTCAATAAGAAATTCCACTACTGTGCCGGGAACGCGTCTCTGACTGGTGAGTTTAACGTCATATTTTACCATGCATGGAAAGTGCGCCCGAAGTGGCAAGAAATGGCGTTACGAAAGCCGGAGTGCCATACTGTTGCATGTTGCGAGCCTGGCTGTTCAGCATCGAAATTCCAGAAAAAAAAAAAAAAACGAGAGAACGTAAGTGTTGCTGTTGTCCAGGCGTCTCAACTCCTGGCTGTGAAACCGGAGAGCAACTTGCAGCAAAACTCGCGCCTGCCTTTCCACCACCCCTGAGGTGTGGCACCTCCAGGATCGCGGTTGGCGGTAACATGACACTTGTTTCACGTCATCATGCTGAAACCAGGGCACCACTTCTTAGGAGGCGGTAAACACAGAATCGGAGACGTGTTCCAGGCACCATAGTTCCAGATAGGCGCCAACAATCAACCAGAAATGAATGCACTTTATAATACCGAACAAAATTAAATAAAGCGAATTATGTTTCAAAAAGATTTTATGTCCAATCAACTCAACACGGATTCCATACTCGTTCTCTTTATCGCCTCGAAAATATTGATCATTTTGCGATTTGCGTGTTTTTCTTAAGTATGCCCTATGCAAGCGTATGTTTTTACAAGGTGTTAAATAAGGCATAATTCGTTCTAATGCAAAATTTGCTGGTTTAGTCCTTCTGCTAAAGGTATAGCGAATATTTCTATGGCATAATTGTGTTATTGCCGATGATGATGATGAGGATGATATTTTCCCCCCAATTCCCAATTCCCACGACAATTAGAGCGCCGATGGTCTTCGCATAATTTTCAGATCAGAGAAAAGTTTCATTGATCTCAATGTAGTTTGGCTATTACAGATATACGCTGTACTACGCATTTAACGCGAGCGGAATGACCGCACTTTTTCACTCCTTCCTTCAGGGTTTTCACGATCAGCAGATTGCACCGGTTAGGCTGGTGCCCCGAAAGAGCACAGGACTCGTAGTTTTGAAGACAGCCCTTCCATTTTAAGAAAAAAAAAAAAAAAACTATTTGAGATTGCTGGTTCGTGAGAGCACGCACGCTTCGTAGAACCTTGCTCTTTCTTAAGCAGTGTTTTCCATCTCAAGGAAAATCACAGAAATATAATCATCAACATCTAGCATCGTTATTTGTTCTTACTGGAAAGTGACTGAAGAACATTTTTTGTTCATAAAAAATGAGATCGTGGAGAACTTTGATGTATACGTGTACCTACTGAACAGAAATATTATAAAGGTTTGACGTAAAAATATCAATAAACTCTAAAAACAAAGTTAAGAAAACAAAACCGATCGCTTTCGCAAGCAGTCCATATATGCTGGAACGGCACGAGTCCGGAGAACACTCGACGTGACAACGCACGCGGGTCAGCCGTTGGTAAATCAGAAAAAAAAAAAGACAGAAACTAAACGAAAAAACACAAAACTCATGAGTTTTTTTTTTTTTTTTAATAAAAAAAAAAGGTTTCAATTCCTTTAGCCACAAGATATTGCTTCTTTACTACTAGATCTATATTTCAACATAACACATTGGTTAATTGACCAATTCTTCCGGTTACTGATGACAATGCGGAAAAAAGAATTACACAAAATAAAAATTAGTTTACGGTTCAAAGATGTTCAAAGATAACATTACATTACAATATACTGTTTTGCTTTTTCCCTTTGTGTTAATGTGTCCATATCAATTTTTATACCTTAATAATCACACCAGTGTATTGTTTTTGTGCCCCGGCCTATGACCAGTCAATAATTGGTTGTGATTTACGAAATTAATTCTTGTAGGGGTGATTATTTTTGATGATTGTGGAATAATTTCCTCCTTTCCCATGTTTTTGAAAGGTGAAAAAAAGTGACGATGACCTTTTGTTAGTCATATTTTAAACATTTTACAGACGAGCGTGTATATTTATTACGCGTGAATGTGCAAAGTGTTGTATCTTTTTTTTCCTCTGAATGCATTTTGTTTTCTATAATTGTGTATTTACTGTACACAACGGAGGGCAGAGGCCTCAGACAGGCGGAAATGCCTTCTCTCTCCACCTACCCGGCTTGACCCGTAAATATCCAATTTTACAAGACTAAACTAAAACGCTTTTTAACGCTGTAATATTTGCCATAATAAAACAGCTTTATCTCTTAGTCCGTTAGAAACAAAGCGGAAGCTCTACACTCCGTTTCGCTCAGAACAAATATTTTCTTTCGAAACTTTTTTTAACTTTTGCTCGTGTTCACTTTTATAAAAATATTTTTCTCGCTGATTCTTAGATTTTAATCTAAAACCAATTACATAGGAACTAGGAAGTATCAAATGATAGACAAACGCAAAACAAACAAAAATACATTTTCGGGCTTATTTTTGCGCGAAAGGTTTCATTTAACTCACCATAGTAAAACTGATATAATGATTTATATCATAACTTAAATCTTATTGCCTTTTTTTATTTTTCGCCCTGCCCAGTAGTAATACGGGACCACATAAGGAGCCGCCTGACCCGAATTATCGAGTGTTTATTTTCTCCTTGAGTGGTGATTGAACAAGCGTGTCTCATGCTACCTCGACTTTTGAAAGTACCCGTTAAATGACCTGGCATATTGCAATCACATGAGGATTTTTCTTTCATATCATTTCAGGAACATTGCACGAGTCCTTCACAATCTTGCAGGAACCCTATAAAGAAATGGCTTACTTTGTGGCATATGGTAAGCTGCAGAATATACTCCCTGTAGTCGTACTTCAGATATACAGCTTGTAAACTAACGCTTTTAAGGCACTTTAGACAGCCCGCAAAAATTGGTTCTTCAACATATCGCGCTGCGATATACTACAACGTTGAAAGCAAGTGGTGAAAGTTTAGATGGAAAGAAAAAATCAAGGAGTAAACTTATCTCGTACAAAATATTGACAACAAAAACCTGTTCTGGGCAGTTTACGCTGCAACTTCGAAGGCGATACACGCGTAGAGAGAATTGCTGTCGACAGATGGCGTACGCCGTGGCAAGTGGCGCCGGCTGATTCGAGGTCATAGCAGACGACCTCGCTGAAGAACCCGAATCGGCCCGCGCTCCCTCGACGCGGCGTGCGCCATCTCTTGGCAGCAATTCTCTCTACGCGTGCACAGTCTGCTAAATGGCAGCGTAAACTACCCAAAACAGTTTTTTTTATTTATATTTTGAATGAGATGAGACCAGTCCTTGGTTTTTTCACAGTAAACTTCCACCACCTCTTTTCACCTCTGCATTCTGTAGCCAGTCGCAGGGCGATTTTACAAGAAACCGATTCTTGCGGGCCGTCTAAATTGGCTTAAAGCAGTTAGCTGACATGTTGTATATCCTTCATTGTTTTTAATTTTAGGTCAAAATCCGTTAAATCAGGCCCGTGCTTGATATTTGAAAAAAAAGATGACTAGAACCATATTTACGGCAGTTATACTGCCACCTAATTATTTTCGATTCAAGGCCCTTATGAACCAATGAATCGCTTATTTAGAACGGACTATGTTGTAAAACGCATCAGGTAATTAAAGAAAAGTTTCGCTAACGTTAAACCATTTTCCGGTTAAATATGCTTGGTTAAAATGCCTTGCTCGCTTCTCTTACGTTACCGAGATTATTTTCACTCACTAGCTTCATTTCTTTTTCATAATTTTAATATGCCTCTGTTCCTTTGCCCTTTTAGGGATTGTCTTGCGGTTAGCTGCTTTTACGTGGGGAAGGCAGGATGCGAACGTATAGGGCTAATACGTTTTCTGTATCAAGAGTTACACAACTCTTTTCTAATGTGAAGGTCAATTACCGTCGCACATCGATAGCGCACGTATTGGGGATAGTTTACTCCGCAGCTATGCATTGCTTCACAATAAATCATAGAGTATTCACGACTCCAGCAAAACGGTCGGCTTCTAGTGGGAAAGCAATGAACTGGCCGGATTGGGTCCTTTCGCGATTTCTGATCTTCTTTTTCGGCGTCCGGGATTGCATGTTGTCGGCGGCTGGTGCTATGGCCACCGAAATAAAGTGAGGGAAATGTCGTTGCTTGTGTTCACAGAAACGAAAACAACAGTAATGACAAGACCCAAAGAAAACCACAAAAATCAAGGCTCGTAATGGCCGGAGGATTTACGTGCGATTAGAATTGCTTGTCATGTTGTGTAGGGCGCACAGTTGTCCCGGTGACTGTCGTTTTCGTATCAGCATGTTGCGTAGATCGCTCAAGACGCATCCTACGCAACTGCGTGAACCAGGAATTTTGCATTTATAAACGTTAACTAGCGTATTATTTAGCGCTTATAAACGTTACCTAATTTGAATTCTCGCTTTCTCAAAAACGCTAAGCCACTGGAAGCACGTTTATGTTACGCACCGCCGCAGGTTTGGAGCGCAGTGAATAAAAATAGGGGCAAACCATTGTAGATCCAATGCTTGCCTGCTGAAATCCGAACGCTGTGCATTTTGATGGATCGTGGCACGACAGGCCTAGTTTTCAACCACAACACGTGCCTGAGAGTGCCAATCCCTATTGGTCGGTGTGTTCGGTGAGTTCCGTCACCACGGACCTCAGCCACGTGAGCCCCCCTATACCGACACGCAGGGGCCACTTGCTTTAGTAGGTGTTTGGTGAGTGGCGTCACCACGAACCCGGAACCGTGTAGGTTCACCCTCCCACGCCTGGCTGTGCGTGGCTTGACCCGTGTCCGGGGAAAAGCGACCCTGGGGCCCTATCATACACGGCGGGACCAAGCCGGACCAAGAGACCGGGACAACGCCGTCTGCTGCGATCGGTGAGCGGCGTGGCGCTGACCAATCGCAGCAGACGATGTTGTCCTGGTTTTCGGGGCCCCACGGCGAGGCAATATACCACTTCTGCCCCTGCTTCTCGTAGACGGGTGTCCTGGCTTGGCCCGACCAGGATGATTCAGGCAGTCTCCTCTTCTAATCTCTTTTTTCTTCTTTCACTTCTCCTTCCACCTTTTCTCTTTTCTTCTACATTCTCTTTCTTCCTTTTCGACCTTCTTAGGCGATAAGAACCAACCTTGAGTGAAAAAGGTCTTGTCCCTGCGACCACATTCGGGCATCGTTCTTGGGCTCTACAGGTAGTGTAATTCTGTCAGACAAGCCAACCTTGCTATGACACATTACCTAACCCCTTGTTGGGCTTCGTAGTGGGCGGTGCACCCAGGCACCGAATCTTCCTCCCATCTTTTATGGGTTCCGAACTACAACCTCCCGATCGGCCTCTGAAAAGAGGTCGCACCGAAGTCCTTGAATTTGCCACCATGGCCCACGATCTTTTCAAATTTCCCAGGGCAATAAGCTACTTGCTAAATATCTCCATTTTTATTGTCCGAAGTGCTGGAAGGTGTTGCTGGTGAAAACTGCAGCACCAAACGGATGACATCAGGCAACATTCTTGTTAAAATAAATAAAAAGAAACAAAGTGGGTCAACCCTAGCCCTGAACTTCAACTAAGTCTACAAGGTTAGTGTGACCCCTCACCGAAAGGTAAAAACTGTCCAAGGTGGCATTTCTGAATATGATTTGCTCGTTTATACAGATACATAGCTAGTTGAGGGTCTCTCTGGGCAGGGAATTGTTGCAGCGCGACGCATGAACACCCATCGCGAAGGCGTGGAACGCAAAACAAGGCATGTTATTTTGGCCTTCGAATCCACGACTTTGCCAACTACTGTGAAAGCAGGCTGTATTCAATGCAGTGTCCGGCCCTTTGTGCTGAAGCCTCAGGGCTGCTTTAAGTGCCAAAGGTTCTGCCTTGGGTTGCGGAGCTGTCAGGGTGTTGACGTACGCCAAGTGCTCTAGTAACGAGGATGTTGCTGATGTCTGCGAGAACGAAGCTCAATGCGAAAACTGTAACGGTAAGCATCACACATTCTCCCGATCTTGCTCTTTATGAAAATACGGAAAAGAAATCATCACTTTGAAGGTTGCTGAAAACATTTCTGAGATTGATTCAAAAAAGCGCCTCGCCTTTATTTCCAAAGGCTCTTATGTCCAGGCCGTACTCAGGGGACCGGTAAGGCTGATGGTTTTAACTGGAACACAGACGTATCTCGATGATCCGCGCCTCCCGTCGCGGTCTCCTCTTTTTTCGGGAGCGGTGCCAGGGGCACCGCTTTTTAATCGCAAAGTGGATGCTGTCCCGTCAGCATCCACACCGGAGCAAGGGTTGGCATCCCCTGCTTCACCTTGCATTTCGACCCCTCTGACCGAGGTGAACCCCCTCGCACCTCTGGCCGCCAGAGGAAGCCCGGGGAGCCGCCGAAGCTGTCGAACTCCAAGGGTCAGCTGCCGACGGCAAGAGCCGAGCCCATGGATGAAAGTGGGCTCTCTTTCTGTCGCCAGTGACCACACTCGTGGGCAGAGAGATCCTCCTAAAAAAGAAAGAGCACCCACGTGTAAATATAGATTTTAAATCTTAACGAACCTTTATTTTAGGTCACTTTTCATAGTATATATATAGAGAGAGATTTTTTTTTTCTTTTCAAAATGGTAAATAAGAATAGTATCATGCCGTGGAATAGCCGCAGCCCTTTTTCTAATGTTGAATAAATCAATTATTTTCTAGATGAGCTTCGACCTAGTGGTCTTATGCCTACAAGAGACAGATCTTAGGGACACACACAAAAAGTTTCTACGCCGCTATCAAGTTCTTAAAAAGAATCGTGCACCTTCTAAAAAACTCGTCTGGTGGAGTGGCTGTGGTTGTAAAGAGCGGAGTTGCCTGTGTTCCATTTTCTCTCGCGACCTCACTAGTGGTAGTGTTAGTTCATATTCTTCGTGGCCGCCTTATTACACTGGCTTCAATCTAACTGCCACCAAGTATTTCATTGCATTTACCTGACGTTCATGTACTGACTGGCCAGCTTCCACAACGTTTTTCTTAATTTAGAAAATTTTAATGAGCACCACCCCATCCGGGGCAGCACCCGCTACGACTCCCATGGCGGAGTAATTCAACGATTTTGTTATCATCTGCCCTTTGCCTTTTAAATGGAAGTGATCCGACTTTTTTTAGTGCATCTTTTAATACTTTCACCTATATCACTTTGGCCCTCTCACCACCGTCTTTACTTCCATGCTTTTCATGGAAAATTTTAGACAATCCCTTTGGAACTGACCATTTTCCTGTAGTTTTAGAGAGGATGGTAGCACTGCCGTCACTTCCAAACAGAATCCCCAAGTGGAAATCGGACAAGGCGGACTGGGTTCTTCTTAGTTGGGAGCGGTACTTGGCTCTATCGAACTTTTAGCTATAACCCCTGCGAATGCTACCTTTTACATTACTGACCGAATCATAAACTCAGCATATATTTCCGTTCCACAAGCATCTGGATGCATCTTGCGAAGCGGATGGTGTGAATAATAAATCCCCCCCCCCTCTCTCTCTCCCTCCGAAGTGGTGCAAGCCTTGCTAGACTAAGGACTGTATTTCCATACTTAGGTCTCAGAACAAGTCCTGGAGCACTTTTTACCACTACCTAACTGTCAGGAACAAGATAGAGCTAAAATAAAAGTAAAGCAAAGGCATATTGGACAAGGAAGCAGGCCAGAAGGAGCTCGTAGGTAAATTACGTTTCCAATGTGAACAGTTTTGTTACTTCAAAAGTGGTGTGGGACCGAGTAAGAAAGATTCGGGGCAAGTATCTTCATTTTAAGACACCTCTTTTTTCTTCACCTGTGCCAACATTGAAGGGTCAGGCTAAGTTTCTTGCAGAATAGTTTCAATAAGTTTATAATTCTTCTAATTACACTGTTTCGGGAAAAAAAAATTGAGGGCTATAGCAGAAAAGCAGCCGATTTCTATATCTGGATCGAATGCTCTAGAATATAACCAGCCCTTCACATTGTGTGAACTTGAGGTGGCCCTTGCAACAAAGAAGGTGTTGCGCCCGTACCTGAAATAATATACTATGACATGTTGCGGGCACCTGTCCCAGGAATCGCTGGGTCATCTGTTGACTTTTTGACCATTCGTGGGGAGCTTCTGTTTTTCCTCAGTGCTGGAAATAGGCGCATATAATTCCCTTCGTGAAACCCGGTAAAGTCTTTTCACTGCCTATGAGTTATCGTCCCATTGCGATGACCAGTTGTCTCGGGAAAACTTACCGGAGGCTGATAAATAGGCGTCCAGTATACTTTTTAGAGGCGGAAAAGTTTTAGATACCAATCAGTGTCGATTTAGAATGAATCGTTTAACTTTGGATAATCTTGTTCGTCGAAAACCTTCCATACGTGAAGCTTTTGTATATCGACTGCACTCTGTGGTGGTATTCATCGACCTAGAAAAGGCTTAAGAAACTATTTGGCGGTATCGGATTCCTGAGGACTTGCATACGTACGGCATCCGTGGCCGAATGTTTCGTGGCAAATAAGTTTCTTACTAACCGAACTTATCAGGTTAGGTTCGGCTCCACACACTCCGATGTTTTTCTCTAAGAATGTGGGGCTGCTTAAGGAGGTGCATTAAGTGTTTCTCTGTTTGCAAGAAAGAATAACGGCCTGGCTGCAGTAATACCGCCATCTGTCTCCTATCGGTTGTACCTATGTCGACGATATGCAGATTTCCTTTTTTCTTGCAACCTCTAAGGTTGCGAGCGAGAGCTACATGTCTCGATAAATGACTCGAGTATATGGGGTGATGAAAGTGGGTTTAATATTTTCCTGAAAATGCAGTTTGCGTGCCCTTTTCACTACGTCGTGCTCCGTCAGCTGAGCACAGTTTACAACTCAGTAGTACTTCTGTACCTGTAAAGCAAGATCACATGTTTTAGGGGTGGTTTTTGACAAGAAACTTACCTTTTGGCTTACGTCAAGGAACTGAAGCAGAAGTGCCTGCAATCATCTAATATCCTCAATGTAGCTTCTCACATGCCTTGAAGATCTGACAGGCGCTGTTTATCTGTTTGTACATTGCCCGGGTTCATTCCGGTCTGGACTATGGTGCAATTGTGTACGAATCAGCATGGGAATAGGTCTTGAAAATGTTAGATAATGTCCATCATCTTGGCTTTCGACTGCTTACAAGAGTTTTTCGGATGTCGCTTCTAATAAGCTTGTACGCAGATACTCATCAATTTTTTTTTTAGAAAAAAGGAGACAATACTTTAGCCGTGTTTTGGATTCAAAGTTAAATCTGGCCTAGCATATCCCGCCTTTAGCTGTGTAGAGACATCTTGTTTCTTACACTTTTTTTGAAAACAAGCCGAGGTTTGTGCGACAATCAAGTTTTCGGCTTCATGGTAATTGAACATCTCTGCAGCTTACAGTCCCTGAAAATAACTTGATTACAAGGGTCGAGAGCATTCCTCGATGGAGTGCAGTAAACTTTTGATGTGACTGGTCACTGGCAAATTTTTATAAAAAATCAGTCAATCCTCTTCGAAATCAGCAGGAGTTTAGAGCATTGCTGTAAAAATAACAGGAAGACCTACAATTATATACGGATGGTGCCAAAACCTAGCCTTACCTAGGTTCTGCAGTTTTTAAGCGCAGTTCAATATCGATAGCATTGCAAGTAGTTTTACTCTTGAGCTTTATGATATATTATGGCCCCTGAACATATCTTAAAGAGTCATGTGATAATACTATTTAGTGTGTTGATGCTCACAGCGCACCCCCCCCCCCCCCCGGCTTGCTCTCTTACTGACACAATGAACCGGCGTACACAAGAAGCGCGTGTACAAATGCACCATGTTGCCTACTCGGACTTGATAATAAACTTTCCTGGGTACCAAGCCATGTACGTACTATCGGTAATGAAGGGGCAGATACGCTAGCCGCCTTTCTCAATGATACCATTAAAAAGAAAACCTTAGACTGCGGTATGAAGATTTTAAACCAGCTTTAAACAGAGCAATTAATAAGCTTAGGCAGTCAGATTGGGTGATGGAAATAGGCAATAAACCACAAGCTCTCAAATCTTGTTTAGGGGCGTGGGAAAGTTCCCATCATAGGAACCGTTTTCATGAAGTTTTCACATCCCGATTGAGGATGGGCCATTCGCGCTTGACACATGTGTATTTAATTTATGGTGAAGATGCTCCTGAGTGTGAGCATTATGGCAAAGTAATGACTGTATTACACGTTGTGATGCCCTGCAGGCACCTTTATCAACAACGACGGGTGTGTTTTCCAGATATTTGTAGACACCCATCTTCAGTTTAACCTTTCCATCCATTTTTATCCTCCCCCCTCCTGGAGTTTAGCAGTACAAACCATGAACAATAAATAACATCATGCGAAAAACACGCCCCAAAAATAAAACGAAATAAGGCATGTAAATATAAAGCATCGATTACATTAATAGAATGGAGCGTCTGCCATAAACGAGTGAAGAAGAAAAATATACACCGAATAATAAAACGTTTCTTTCGCCTGTGATGTATCGTAAGACAGAGACCGCTTCATCAACATTCTAACATGAAGCATGCAATCCAGAAAATTTCAGCAGATAAAAGATCGCGTTCAAGGATCAACCTCTGGTCCCATTTAGGCCTGTTTTAGAATTTCTTAAATTAACTGTCTATATAGATCGGTTCTAACTTTTATTTGTAAAATATGTGTCTCCCATTGTAAATAGCCTAGAGTGTAGCATCTTATGGTCAGTTTGATTTTAAAATCCATAGTCATACTAATTTTTATTTATACCCAGAACTCATGGGCATATGTTATGCATGACTCATGGTCATAGTCTTATTAAATAAACATCTTCTACAGCTCTGTTTTCTCAATCCTTATTTCCGCAATAGTTTATGCACTTCGCGCATTTTGGCCCTGGTAGCTCTCGCCGAAATAAAGTTCCAATCATTCATTCATTCCAATTGGTAGGTGGAGTCGCGAATACATAAAGGCTAGAAAACGCATGAACACCAGTGCATATACTAGAAGAGTCAGATCACATAAAATTCGCTGAGACGAGTTGGTTGACACCTTGATAACACGCGCTCAAGAAAGATAACGAACAGTATGACATTGTGCTTCCGGCAATGCTTCATCGGCCTAATTGAATCATAGCATCGATGGCGCTCCGACAAGTGGTGGAACAAAGTGTAATAGATGACGCAAGCTACTGGTGCAACGCGTCTGGGATTATCGCGCAGAGGCGCAGAGGCGCTGGACTGGAGTTCCTGCATAGGCTCCCTACGGGAGCCAGAGTTGCATGTTCATCCCCGTAGGGCCGTCTTTCCTGCACGGCATGTTGAGCCTACTGCTCACGCGACTGGATTCGGCCACTAGCGGCGCCGCACGTTCCAGGCGCGGCGCGCTCAAAAGCAAGGGAACATACGCCGGAACGCGCGCCATGTCTACTTTCCTGCACGACATTTGAGTCTGCTCCCCACGTGATCTGATCTCGGCGAATCGCGGCGCGGCGGCACGTGGAAAACAGACGCGCAACTCTGGCTCCCGTAGGGAACCTATACAGGAACTCTACACGGGACTAGGAGCCCGCGACACCTATCGTCCAACACACTCTTTACAAAGGAGCCCGAGTTTGCCCACGCCGGGTGTGGGCACTGCGCGCCCACAGAAAACAGATTCGCCCGAGGCGAAGCATCTGCGCATGCGCAGTGCCGGCAGCAGCGCCATCGTAGTGGCGTGACGTCAAAGAGTTCAGTTGGTCTATGCGTACTTCACTTCAAGTCGCTTGTGTTAACGTATGTCTCCAACGAAGGACGGTGCCTCTAAATTAAGACCTGAACAAGTCATTCTAATCTTTTGCTTTCGGTAATGTACTGGGTTAAAATTTCCTCATCCTGCCTTCACCATTGGGGCAACCTTTCGGTAGTCTCACCGCGGTACAAAGTGCTCTTTATTAATTCGCAGCGAAAAACCCTCGAACGTTTTAAGGGTGGATCCAATGCATCGGAAAAATGGCGTCTTAGACGATATGACAAAGTGTATATACCGATCATATACGTATTTTATATTCTTAATATGCGCTTTTTTATATGCAGGCAAACGAGGCCAAGGCCAGGTGTACAAGATATATGACAGGGTGGAAAGCTGCGTCAACGCCGATCAGCTTCTGCCTATGGTTTGCCCTGACGGGTGTGGGATGATTTCAACCAAGTTGAACCTTTCGCCGTAGGTCGGATGCAAATGCGGACTACGTGATACTTGAGCCCTTCAATTTATATGTATATCCAGGCTCCGGCAATTTTTATTTCATATTTTTTACATTTTTTTGTATCTCTCACACACTCCGTTTATTCCAAATATTTTTTCTAGCAATAAACGCACCACCTTCTTTTAATAAAATAACTGTCGAGTTTTCTGGCCCTATTATTATTGTCAAAGAGGCGTGATATTGTTCGCCCTACACTTCGACTGAGCTTCAAATACGCGATTTTTGCTCGTAGTAGACCGGGCGGTATTATACTGTGCAGGCTCCTTCTTCGTGTGGAATGTAGCACCGAAGAGAAAACAATTGATTTTTAATTAGACTCTTTAAATCTTAGCACACAATCTAGCTAATTTCGGTTCATTAGAAAGAGAGATTAACATTAAAAAGCAAGAACGTACGTCACGCTAAAAAAAATTAAAAAATTGAAAAAAGGCATTGCGTGTGTATTTGCGTTTTTTACACGGCACTCGTTAAACCAATTTTTGATACCATCAATAATGAGTTCCACGGTAAAAAAAAACAAAAAACATTTTAACCAAAAAAGTATTTTCACGATTTTACGCTGACATGCACATTGTTCGTGCAGCAACAGCGCAGAGTTCGATTTTAGGCCCAAACTCTTTTGGTCAAGTCAAATGCTAATAATAGTATGGGCCATTTCTTAGAATGTCGGGAGTAGTATGGATACTGAAACTTAAAGTAAGTTAAAACAATTTGGGCGGACATTGCCAGCAGCACATACAGCGGCTTCAGCTTTATTTTGTACAGGATGCATTTCCTGGAAGCAAAAGTGGGTCGCACGTGTCAATGTGACAAATAGGTAACCGTGATTTTCCAACCTCGACACCTTGCAGGCTAACATCAAGTAATTTAGGTCAACTTTGTTTTAAACCTCTTCGCGTTGCACGATTGTGCAGTTCAAAGTGATTGGACACTTTTCGCGTAGCATTGATGTTTTTACGGAGTTAGATAAACAAATAATTAAATACGGATATTGCCATCTCTACTGAGACTCGCTTCAAATCTAGTTTGATGCGTTTCCTGAAAGCGAAACTGGAGCGCACGTGTCAGTGTTGTAAGTAGGTAACCGCAATTTGGTGACCTGGTGACCTCAGACTGCAACATCGATTGATGTAAGTCCTATTTATAGCCGTCCATAGGTAGCACGGCTCCAGAATCACAAGTGACTTGGCACTCCCTGTGGTCATTTTGCCGCAGCTTTGAAATCTACGTGGATTGACCATCCACTTTTATCACAGGAGATTCTGGGCTGAAGAACAGATATCCGAGGATACCAAAGTTACTCTCTCCTATTTGCTGCAGCAATACTTTGTACAAGACTGCCCCACTCCAGGAAGTTGTAAGTTTATTGGAGGAGTAGGGTAACATAACAAGGACAGCGGTAGAATATTTGCTCACGCTTATTGATGGTGGCCCATATCTTGTATGGTTAGCGTCTACTTCTTAAGTAAACGGGCTGCAAGCACAAGCAATATAATTCGTTGAAGAAAAAAATGTCTCGCTAATTGCCCTGCAATTGTGTTGCTACATGAAACATTCGTGGTTTAGCGCTTGGAACCTCCAAGCATTTCTTCTCGAGCTGTGCCTCCGTTTGCTCGAACCGATAACCGCGGCTAAAGTTAGCCGCAGTACCTAGGAGAGGGATTTTAAAATCACGTGGATGGCTCGGTAGGGATGCGGGGAAACATGGCGGTGCCCCGATGAGTGAGCGCCGCTCGCTTTGGAACTAATTGAGAGTTTTAGCAGATTGTTTTTTTTCGCCCCGATAACGATACCTTCTCTCTCCTCTGGCGGCCTTGGGCATGCATCGTATCGTTATCGGGTGTCATTATCGGGGCGAAAAAACGGTCGGTTGAAACTCTCTATCATGTCGTAGCTGAGATATCGGGCGCGTTAGTCAGCAACGAATGGTGCAGGAGACTTTCGCTTTGGCTTACCTCACTTAAATCGCAAAGCTTGAGGAATGACCTCGCCGCATTTGTTAGATAGTCTTTCAATTCTGACCATTCCTAAGCCTAAATGAACGCGATAATTGTCGGCATGGCAACGTCTTTGGAAAGCGGATTGCCTTGACTCAATCGGCCGGGCATTGATAGCACAAAAAAGTAAACAGCGTCCCAGTAGACTTTTTCTAAATTTCCCAAGCACCGAGGTGCATGCTACGAGTGTAGTTACACGCGTTGCACGTGCTGGCGTCTGCAGTAGTAATTGTTCTAAAGCCGAAAATTAAAACAAATTTTGGCTCGCAGGCGCGTTCGTCAAAGCCTTATTACGATTATTTACATCGAATCCTTTATAAAAGGAAGGCCAGCGCGCGCGGACCGTAGAATTACACTTCCAGCGTTCTCCTCGACCCTGGCGTATTTTAGAAAAAGGTCTATTGGGACGCTGTCTGCTTACGTGTGCTATCAATACCTGGCCGATTGAGTCAAGGCAATTCGCTTTCCAAAGACGTTGCCGTGCCGAAAATTATCGCGTTCATTTAGGCTTAGGAATGGCCAGAATCGAAAGACTCTAAAAAATGCGGCGAGGCCATTGCTCGTGCTTTGCGATTTAAGTGAGGTAAGGCAAAACAAAAGCCTCCTGCACCAATCGTTGCTGACTAACGCGCCCGATATTGCAGCTACAACCACATAGTTTTAAAGCGAGCGGCGCTCACTCAACGGGGCGCCGCCATGTTTCCCCGCATCCCAACCGAGCCAGTCACGTGATTTTAAAATCCCTCTCCTAGGTACTGCGGCTAACTTTAGCCGCGGTTAGCGCTTCGTGCAAACGGGCCCAGGTGTATCCAGTTCTCTCCACCCCATTGACGCCACTCACTTCTGTACATTCCACTGACTCGTCTCCACCCGTTGACTCATTCACTTATTAACTGGTTGACTTTCCTCGTCAGGGCGGCCTGTGTCCACAGAGCACGGAGAAGAACAGATTGCGGCCAGTCAAGTGTCAATTATCCCGCTAAATTTAGCGGGAAAACTGAATTTGTGTGCAGGTCATGTGACATCGGGCCATGCGAAGTCATTTTCCCCGCTAAAATCAGCAGGGAAATTCGTGGTTACGCTTTTTGTGGCTTTACTTCACCTGAAAACATGAAAACCCAGCCTATAAATGTTTCACGTTAAAATACAGTAGAAGTAGAAGGAGGCACGTTACTTGAAATTACACGTTACTAGAAGAATAAACATTAGGATGGACAAAACGAGAGATCTCTAGTTTCAGCATATGGGGTGTTAAAAGTTTAAACATGAGTCGTGCTGGCCGTCCTTGGGTTTATACTTTTACAAATGTCTGAAGTTAATTAACATGTAAAATCTAATTTTAACATCACGCCACATAAATTGCTCATTCGCATAAATATTTTCGTCAAAGATAAGTTTTTTTTTTGTTTTTTTTTTGTCTAAAACACGTTGCACCTCTTTCTGTAGTGCGCGAATCGTCAACATGCAGTTTCGGGCAGCCGCGGCCACTGCAGGGGGCAGTATCGGCAACCCACAGGGAAATACTTTGATGGAAAAGAGCGTGTATCTTTAAGAGCACAAATGAACGCTCTGCACTTTGTTACTTTTAAAATGCTATTGAACTTAATACCGTTTATGAAGCTTTTTTGTATGCAAGCGTGAAAAAAAAGTTCTAGGGTAAAGGTTGCTTATAAGACACCTATTCAGACTGCAAGAAGTAAAGGTATTCTGCGACAATGACCAAAAAAAAAAAGAACACGCCTGTAGATTGTATGGAGAAGAGCCAAAATTGACAAACGAAAGTCCCTGTTCAGTGCTACATGTTCAAACCGTGGTGACACGTCATATATCGTGCTGCTAAATTTTAGCACAAGTGGCAGTGCGCGTTGGAAAAGCTATAGTTCATACTGAAAGAGTGAAAGCACTGAAACGGACGAGTTACAGACGCTCATAGTTCTTTCAACGAGCAACGACATTTGTATGATGTCCCTCGCACTACGAAAACCACTATGGTCACAGAGGAATTGAAGGAAGACGGAAATACTATAAAAAGGTAAAGATAAAGATAACTCTATTTTACTGCCGGAAAAATAATAAAATTTAAGGAGGCTTTTTTATGGTAACTTTGGCGCTAGGAATTCCAGCTTTTCTGTCGATAACGACAATAAGGGTTCTCAAACAATGTCTGTGATATTCTTGATGTTAAATGCTTCAATTATTTCTCGCCCATACTTGTCCTTGCGTGAACCAAGCACCGTAGTGTTTTCATAGCTAAAGAATACAATCATGGCAGGTGCGGGCGTGCTCAACAATTGGATGGTAAGAGTCAGATAACGCCTTGTTGACTCCTAGAAACTGTTTCCTAAGGCGAACGTTTAGGCGTCGTCCTGTCTGGCCGATGTATTGGCTGCCACAACCCAGAGGAGTAGAATAAATTGAATTTTCTTGGCATTTAGCATATTTGCTGGAGTGCTTGATGGTGCATTCTGGTGGACGACTTTAGTTATTCACCCTTTGGTACATTTGTTTTAACTTCAATGTGCATGTGAAGACCACCTACGTGGCGATTTGAGGTACGGTACTCTTCAGGCGGTGGGCGGCGTTATGCGCGTATGGAATGCAGGCCGGGCGTGTCTGTCTGTGTCCTTTGTTGTTAGATGAAGGACGGTTGGGGGCTGCGATGAGACAACGAAGGGTAGTACGGAGGAGGTCTGCTTGTTACCCGGCTTGGAGCAGTCGGTCATAATGACGCTGTACACTCATCGTCATTTCAGTGCTTTTATTCTTTCGGTATGAACTATGGTGAACCCCGCAGGGCTATGAAGGTAATATGTACAGAGAAAGTCTTCAATCTAGTCGAGTCAGGCAAGTATTGATCTCAAAACATATCGGGTTTGAGTTATCTGAAATAAACAGCGCTAAAAAATACAGACAAGGAAAAAGGGAAGATGCGAACGACACAAGCCCATCACTCACAACTAAACATTTATTGAAAACAAGAAAAAACACCAACGAAGTAGACTGCACTATCGCTCCAGCA